AGTATATAAAACAATATTGCTGTGCAAGCTGCTGAACACACATACACACACACACACGCACACACATCATATATATCTATACATCAGATAAGAATAAATCAGTACCTAGAATGTATTTTATTTATCACTGAATTTATACCCGTCCTTTCTGTTTATTCCATCACTCAAGACCATATACAGCAATAAAAAAGATAGAGGGTAAGATGTAACATAATACAATTAAAATTAAGGTCCTTTCTTGCATACTCAATGATCAAGCACCTAACAGTGTGGACATCTTCAGAAGGGCGTCTCCTGCTGATCTGTGGACCCAGGCAGGTTTGCAGTGGAAGGAGCCATCTCTCAAGGAGCCAGCCTCTACACCATTTACCATTTCAAAGGGTCTTAAATTATACCTGGTGGGCAATTGGTAGCCAAAGCAGATCGTTTAGTACAGCATCCGATGGTCCCTATATCTTGCACTGCTCAGCAGCTTGGCCACTGCATTTTGCACCAGTGGCAATTTCCAGACTCTTTTCACGAATATGTCTACATAAATAATCTTGCAGTACTTGAGATGGGTTGTAACCAAGGTGGGGGTAACTGTTGATAAGCCCAACTGACTCAGAAAGGTTGCAGTTGTGCAAACATACTTCTTGCTGCAGCTGCTACCTGTCAATCCAGTGACTGCTGGGGGAAAAGAGCACCCCTAAAGTGTGAACTTTTTTTTTTCCCTGGGGAAGTCCAATCCCATTCAGAACAGACTTCACTTCAATCCAAGTCCAGCTTTTTCCTAACAGCAGCACCTTCATACAGTCAGTAGGTAACTACATCTTTTTCATGCTTCTTTCAAGTTGAAACTTCAACAGTGAAATAATCATAGGTCATAGTATCATGGTTAAGGACCACCAACTTCAAGTCTGCTCTCAGCCATGGAACCTCATTGGGTGACTTTGACCCAATGATTCTCTACCCAGCCAATCTCACAGGGTTCTTATTACAAGGGTAAACATGAAGGGAGATCCCCATGAAAGCTGCTTTGAGCTCCTGGAGGGAAGGAGGGACATAAAATCTAACAAATACATACAGTACATATGTACATATAAGATTATGCCGTAAGGCTGCAATTATTTCCACACCTGGAATAAGCCTCAATGAGCTTTTTACCAAGAAGACACACCTAGGATTGAAGATTCAATTATCTGACATTACACGTGTGTGATGAGATCTCCTTTCCACTTTCCACTGTTAACAGAAACAACTAGGAGAGGCCAGAAATCTTTACCTTTACTGATGCCAACAACCGGTTCAGAAAGCTGACAGCCAAGGAAAATGTTTGAAAGCAAAACTGAAAGAGTGAGCTTAACTTTCCAATCCACATAACAGCTTCTCCATAAGACAGTGGAGAAATATCTGTGCCCTAAATGGAAAAACAGAATTAAAACAAGCAGTACAATCATTTGGAATCTCTCAGAGTTCATGATCATAATAGCGAATACTTGTACCTGATAAAAGTCAGACGTGTGCATCTTAAGATGCCTGAGATTTTTCTCCTCCTCATTGTAATCAGGAAATGATAATGCCCATCCCTGGAGGTTTAGACCCAGATCCTTTCCCCAGAAAAGTACCAGGATATTCATAGGTGTAGTCAAGGAAAGCAAGAACAGAATTTACTGTTTTACCCAGGTTCACTCTAGAATAGGATTTGATGCTATGCAAATGATAGCACACACAAGCTGTTACACATCCTTGTGAACACTGCATGTGGGAAGAATGTGGATGCATGCAATGGCCATGCTAAGTTTGGGGGATCCAAAGGGAAATTCTCATCTCACGTGGGTCTCAAATGCCATTCGGCAGAGATCACCCTTTCGCATACCTTCAGTGTGGAATCTTGGAAGACTGGTGCTTTCCATAACTTTCCTTCCCTTGCTAGAGCATGCTCCAACACCAAAGCAAGATTCTGGCTTTCCAAAGGCCCAGTGCACTTCATAGCAGTAAATCAATGGGCCTATTTTCTGGAACTACTATCTGGAAGTTAAAAACAACCATTACAACAGCCAATGATTATTTTACTCCTAAAATAACACTGCATGCACAAATGAATCTGTTTGCAGACTATAGTTAGTAGACAGCCACATACCAACAAGGAGACATGGTTTTCAAGAGGCCGGAACACTATTTGCTGTACTTTACAGCGGGGTTAGGAAACCTCAGGAGATTGATGAATAGGTAGCATCCTTCTCTTTGGCTATGCTGATCAAGGCTACTGGAAGTTGAACTGTACCCACATCTGCACGTTTACTTTATAGGAACACTGTAATGATTTGATATGGGCCCAATCTTACCTAAGCAGCATGACCACTATGCTGTGGTAATAAATAGTCCCAGCTATTTTGTAATGCAAGTTAAATTTACAGGAGTATATTATCGTTAGTTTGTTAAGCCATGTCCATTACATTTACTGCTGAAGAGAAAGTTTTCTCCCCATTACAGAGAGTTTTAACTCTCTTCTTTGATGGAGAGACCCACAATTTCTGATATATCCCATTTATATCTCAGATCTTCTGCTCTTACCATATTTCCAGAGACATTAACGGGCATATAATAGAAATGATATACCATATAATAATTAAAAGAGCAAAAACATACAGTAAAAGCACAATTACTTTCTGTCCGAGGTGTGCATTGCAAGGCTGTACATTTGCATCTTCCTCATCTAATGTCTAATAAATTCCTGGGCACAAATCTTTGTTTCAGAGTGAAGTGACAGCAGGAAAACAGGCAAGTAGCCTGGAAAAAAAACATGCATGTTCCTAAATCATGAAGTATAAAGCCATTTCATTTGGACTCTGCTGCTTAGAAGCAACAATAATATAGCAGTGTAAGCTGTTAAGACATGGCCCAGTTAAGACTCTTATGTCTCTTGCTGAATATAAGATAAATAAATGCTCAGCTAATCCGCTGCTTACATTACCAGCAACAGTTAATGGCTCCCTGTGCCATATTGACAATTGTTTTTTTCCGCACCCTCCTCTTTTTCTTAGGCAGGAGCCTGATATCATTCTGCCTCCTTTTGGGAGTCTCCATTTCACTTGGTTATACTCTAATACCCACTATGGTTCTGTGTGGAACCTCTAAGGACCAGATGAGTCTGTTTCCTTCAAAGCAATCCCACAAATTGGGATTTGTGGGACAGAGCTCTGCTGTGAAAGATTTGTCTGAAAGATTTATAAAATTTCTAGGCACAAGAAGCCAATATTTATGCATGGTGTAATATTGGAGGTCTTTGGCAATAAAAATAAGTCAAGTATGAAGCAGAAAGAAATGACCCCAGGTCTAAGAATATGCAACAAACAGGTTTTCAGATAGCCTGCATTCCTTATTCAGTCTGCATGATGAATGCTGCAACCACCAGTCGAACACAGATGTATCCAGAATACATGATTAAGAATTGAGTTAGGAGATTCCCACACTACTCACTCAGGCATAAGAGTGGTGATAAATCACTAATGCAGACAGGCATTTTGTGCCATAATGATGGTTTGGTAACCCCATAAATGGCTGGGCGACTCCATTAATCTTGGCTTGTCAGAAGGCTAGCAAAGCAGTTGGGAAATACCAGGTCTCAATCCATGCCAATCAGCAGTGGTCTACTCATGCATTCCAACTGTGCATTGTGGGACTGTGGTAGTCACACAAGAGAGTTCAGATACTCCCATGTTACATATCGTGCCAAGATCACAACTAGGGCAATTTTCCTAACTTGGTACTTAACAATGCTGGCTGGTCTGGGAGATGATGGGAGTTCAAGCTTAATATATCTGGGACATATCTGTGAAGCCTGAGTGATAGACAAGCTTGTGTCCTCCATGATTGAGACTTCTATCTGTCCTAGTCAGCATAGTCAATAGCAAAAAGTTGTAAGAATGACATTCTTAAACATGAAGGATGAGGTTCCTATCCATGTTTACACCATCTTTTTGCCAAACGTAAGAAAAAGAAGACTTTTGGAGTTTTCTTACTGGGGGCGGGGGCGGGGCATGGCTGAGTCAGTCTTGATTCCTGGCAACTGCCTGGACTAGTCCCTGCAATTTTCTTGGCAAGGATTTCCAGGAGTGGTTTGCCCTTGCCTCCTCCCTAGGACTGAGAGAGAGTGACTGGTCCAAGGTCACCCAGCTGGCTTTGTGCCTAAGGCAAGACTAGAACTCATGGCCTCCCAGTTTCTAGCCTGGTGCCTCAACCACAACACCAAACTACCTCTTCTTTTCCTAAACTGCTCTGTTTTTCTGGATTTGTACTGGCTGATTTGAGGCTGATTCTAACATTCTTCTAACACAGGACAAACTTGCTCCAGTAATCATTTGTACATGACATGTCCTCATAATGTTGCTTTTGTCTCATGCCCAGTCCAGAGCTGAGGCAGTTTAAAGCTGCCTTTAGTGGATTCAGTTTTACAATAAAGTCCTCCCTCTTCTCCCAACACAGTTTTCCATGGATATGATCTAGCGTGCGTTTTGCCACACTGGGTTCTATGGAACCCTAGGGTGGGTTCTGCAGGACTAATGTGGGTGGGGGGAACCTCTCTGCAAGACTTAATCTGTTGCAGCGAGTTCTGTTTTTTCTTACTCCCTTGTGGAGGATTTCCTCCCCTTTTTTGCTCAGTTAGAAAAACTGCTATGGATGTCCCTCAAGAGCAGCCCTGAGGCGAGAAAAGATAATTGACTGGGTTCAGGGTTTGTTTTTTTTTCCTGCTTAGTCCTTTGCAGAAAGGGTTTTTTCCCCCCTTAGTCCCTCACAGTAGTTTTACTCTCTGCAAGAGACTAAGGGAGAAGAAAACCTCAGATGTACTCAGACATCTGCTCCTGTCTTGATGATGCAACCTGCAACCCTAACAATTTTTCTAAAGTCTAGAGCAGTGTTTCTCAACCTTGACCGCTTGAAGATGTTTGGACTTCA